CTTTTGTTTGTGTGGCTCCTCAAGAGTGATCTTTGTTCTCAGACTAGCAGGCCAGCCAACACAAGTGTGGTCAATTTCCAGCTTCAACGGCTGCCAACATATGACATACGAAGTGATAATAGGAAAGAATATAAAAGTGATTTCAGCTGATTTCCAAGTCATTATGGTTACAGAAAAAGAGTAAATCACAAAAGTTAACTCTACCTAATGTAATACTCCAAATGTGGAACGCTGTAGGACAAAATTACTTAAGTATGTCTATGTTTCCCATAGTCTTCCCATTTCAACTGTAATCATCTGAAGTGTTAGCTTTTCCTTTGGGGAAATTGCCATATGTTCATAATTTAGATTTACTTATGAGTTCAACAACTTCTACTGCTGATAAAGATTGGCTGGAAGCACCAGCCTGCCTAAGGACACTAAATGTCATATGTGTGGATTGGCAGACATTCTGGGCTAACAGGCAGTGAAGAGTCCACAGAGCTTTCCTCTCCCAGCTCTACTTAGGAAATTGACCTCTGATTTTTCTGCTGAATAGAAAAAGGGGAAGGTGATAAAATGGATATTGAAAATGCAGCCTGGAAGGGAGAGCTATTATTTGACTCACCCATAAATGGCAAGGCCTAGTCATGTGGTTATTTATAACTGCAAGAACACTAAGCCCAAGAAGGGGAAGATAACGAGATACAGAGAAGCACTTTCTAGTTCCCTTGCACTTATAGATAGCTCCCCATCAGAGAAGTTGGTATAATTTTTTATAAAGCCCCTTTGAGTTCATGGTTCAGTTTCCAAGGTCAATTTCCTTGATATTTTTCAAACATTTTTTAAAAAGAGACTATTGTACTGTCTTTCTAATTTTGGGGATTATCTCCACACACAGGCTCACAGTGAAAACTGAAATCCACCTATCCATTTTTTTTTTTTTGTTGAGTACTGAACCGAGAACCATTACAAAGAGCTAGCTGTACAAATGTTTCTTTCTAATTTTTAATTTATTTTTATAATTTTCAGACAGGGTCTGTCTAAGTTGTTATGTGACCTGGGGTGAATTTACTTTCACTTTCCTAAGCCTAAGTGGTTCCTGGGATGCCAGGCATGCATCAGGACACCTGATGCTTTGCATTCTGGATCCAATAATACCTGTATTAGTAAGGTTGTTCTCACTGAGAGCAAATTCCTGAGAAAGCAAATTAGGAGGTGGAAAGTTGTATTTTCATTCATAGTTTCTGAGATTTCAGTTTATGATTAGCTGGCTCCATTGACTGCAGGCCAGAGCAATCCCCACAATCCCATCAGCAGGCTTTTGTGCTACATTTTAGGCAAAAACCACAAGAATGACTTTCTACACATAGCTATGTGATAATTTCTAAAATATTAGGAGCGTGACACTTTTCTATTTCCTACTGATCCATTATCAAAGTCTAAATTTCTACCATCTTCCTGATGAGGGAGCATACCTGAGAGCCTGTTGTGCCCATAGAAAAGAGGCAAAAGAAAAAAGGGATTTTTACTCTGGGTTGTAAGTCAAAAAAATGCAGTTGGAAATATATCAAATTATTTCTACCTTTGCTAAGCAAAGACACCATACCTGCCAATAAAACAGGATTCACCACTTGAAGAACTATAGGAAATTTACAAAAACATCCAATGTGATTTGTTACACAGTGAGTTCCATGTTGTTGACCGTACATAGATAGGGTTGAAGTAATTAGGATAGATTGTTCCAACTTATCTTTTTTTTTTGTTCTTTATATCTACTGCAAATACATTGTCTTTGCTTATTGTTTGCCAAATTCAATGAGGAGAACTTATTTCATTTTCTTTGAAATGGCCTAGGCATATTACACTCACACCTGCAGATTTTAGTTTTTTAATCTCAGGAGACATCCTTGTCTTAGGAAACTCCTTGAAGGTGACATATATGTGATACTCAGTTGATTTTTGTGTTTGATTGCACAGGTAAGCTCCATCATAGATCTGCGTGAGCAGTAACCAGTTGCTAGTATATCAGCTTAAGAAATTCCACTGAAATGTTACTGTGACTTCCATTCACTTTCTCCATCTTCAATGTTTGGTCTCTCAAGGGATGATACAGCAAAAGAGACTACACTCATCAGCTTTGTGGAAAACCATTTGTGAAATGTGGTTGGGCCTGCAAAGACCATGGTCATGCTGGAATTTCACTGGGGATTTTATCTTCTAACTGGAATGTAAGTTGCCAACAGAAGAATAGCAATATGAGGAAAGAGACAGACAAGGAGTAGCAGTGCTCTATGGAAGCTGGAGAGCAGGATATTCTGCAGTTTCTCCCCATGAGAACAGGATGCAGCCTTTACAGGAGGAGATGTTGAAGGCCAGTTTTGTAGTCAGGGGTTGTGAGGAGAACAGTTAGAATCAGGACATGGAATTTATATTGTTATATGATGGTCACCCAGAGTTAACACAAGAAACTGCAGGAAATCTATCGACAACATGAAAGACGTAGAATATTCAGCCAAGGGGCTGAATCGCACGAAATGTCCCAGGTGAATCCAGATGAAGACCCAGAGCTCATGACAATGCCTTCCACAAGTCCAACTGGATGTCTAGCGCCTATGAGAAGGACTCATGCCACTTTCTTTTATGGGCCCATGCTTGGAAATCCCAAAGGTCAATGGTGGAACCTAGAAAGTCTGTGCCAGCAGGTTGAAGGAGGTGTGCCAGTAGTTTGAGGGATCTACACTGGAGCCAAGAAGTCACAAAGACCAGGACTATCCTAAAAAGCACCAGAGCCATTATCAGTGACATCAAGGCCCCAAGCTCCTCCAATGATAAGCACAGTTGAGCACATGCCAGGAAGCCAGCATGATGAGTTCAGCATGGAGTTTATGCAGCACAAGTCTTCCTCTCCAGAGCCAGGAAGCAATACTCAATATAAGGACCAGAGCTTCTCCCGAAGAACTGACAGCTCAAACAGCAACACATAGGAGAACCCACAGTGCCTCAACACCTCAACACTTCAAAGCCTCTCCTCTCCACATCTCTATTTACGTTGGCAACTTTCCTCAGGTGGAACATCCACCCTCAGTGCCCTGCTGATTTAATTCAGCTGGTATTAAGTTGATCACCAGTTTTTAATCCATAACAGCCAGTCTGTCAGACCTTAGTATGAATAAGAGGGCACATTGTAGATGGCCAGGAGAATTATGCTGTAATGCAAGGAGTAGGCAAAATATCAGCACGGAGACCAAGACTGTTCTCAAGAAATCTTGGCAGATGGGGAAGCAATACTCTGGCCAAATCAATCACTGGGAAGCCTAAATTTGTGTGTCATCTTATTTCCACTTTCTGTCTTTAGTTCCACTTTAACTTCATTGATCACAGTGTGTTTCATTTCCTATCCTCAGGGTCATAAAGTGTTTGTGGCAATAGCAACGAGGCCAGAAACAGAGGTGTAACTCAAGGTGCATAAGTCAGTTCTAGATGAACTCATTCAAGAAGTCGGGTCCCCATGTTCATGAACCAGGTATGTGCAGCAGGACACAATCACAAGCATTGTGAACAGGGTGTCATCTCAGGATTTCAAGTAATTCCTATCTTCTAGGACCATGTAAAGTATATGAAGAAGATGGTAAACTACTGGGCATATTTTCAGTTTTTGCTGAAGAGCAGTTATTGCTTTATGGTGATTTCAAATCTACTTTTATCTGGGTATGATCTAAATACAGACCCTCTCAGAAAACAAAATGCTGTGCATCCTGGACTATCAGGCAAAAATTATCCTTAGCAAGTACAATAATACTATTTTTCCTTAAGGTTCAGTATCTAATGTAAGTTTAAGGCTGCCTTCTTCAGGAGCAGGATTGAAATTTTGCAGAAATGCAATTTCCTTCCCTTGATCAAATTTGCCCTCCAATCTAAATCCTACTTTTACTCATTTCATTCCTCCAACCAATGCTTGCTCTTATTTATTACTTGCCAAATTACATGCTAGACAATCTACTTAAAAGTCCCTTTTCCATGGGATATGTAGGAACACACTTGTAATTTCAACACTCTAGCAGACTCAGTCAGGAGGCTACGTTCTAACACACCCTGAGCAATGTAACAATTGGCCAGATCCTGATTCAAAAATAATAATTGAAAAGGGCTGAAGATATATCATAGTGTGAAGGCCTTGGGTTCAGTACCCAATATTACCCCAAAAAACAATTGCTTTGAATGAAGTGAGCATTGGTTTTCTAGGTTATGGAAATGCCTCCCCACACACAACTGACTTTTAGTAACCAATCTCAAAGAACATCATCCTTATTCCTCAAAATATCTTTGAAGAAAATTTAAATAAAATATTCCATTTGTGTAGTGATCAACTGTTTTGAACAAGCCAAGAAAATGTCTACCATTTCTGGCATACATGAGGATCCTTTTAGAATTGCCCAAGATGGGTGGGTACCATGTATAAGCTATTCTCATCACAGGCTTTTGGAATTGGGTTCTGAGAGACACATTTTGAAAGTGCAGTCCCTGTTCCATCTACCTTCAGCCTCACCTGACACATAGTCCAGCTTCAACTAAAATGAGTTATTTTAAAGAATTTGAAGTGTGCCAAATTAATGCCTATAAGAAAACACTTATTCTAAAACTGACGTCGACTTGTTTTCCTCCTCCTCCTTCCCATACCTCTTGCTGTTTGGCTTTTGATATTTGAAGATTTATCTTCATCTCTACAGGGTTACTGCTCTTTGCTAAAACTCTACAAGTGGATCCTCAGTGCCCTTGAACCTAGGATCCAAGTGGCAGTGCACTGCTTTCCCAAGAGCTAGCATGCAATTCACGTTTGGAGAATAACGAACCAGTAAGCACATAAGGTAATTCATTAAGATTTATTTCTCATAAACTAAAAAAGAGCTAAGCAAAGCCATGCATAAGTCTTTTAATTTTATAGAACAAGAGACTAAAAAGAAAAAAAGAAAAGTCAATAACTTTTAGAATTTCTTTCACTTCATGCCAGGTGCATCAAGAGTGAGTTCTTTCATATTTTCACAGACATGTCTATGTAAATTCAATTTTTTTTATTCCACATGACAACACAAAATCAATTCTTTTAAAATTTTTTATCATATAGAAATGATGATATTAATTAACCTCATAAATGACATTATGTGTGAATAATATGATTTGGATATTAAAGATATTCCAACTAAATCGATTTTAAATGAAATAAGTTTTGTTGAAAACTACAACTTTCAGAAAATAAATCAATAAATTGTGAGATTATGCATTAAAAACTACATGTGAATGATATATTCTGTTTTCCTGTCAGACTCATCCCACTACCAGCACCTACATTCTTTCAGTACTAGCCTGCACTTGGTATAAACTAGCTACTCTTGGAACAGTGACAACCCATGTCTCCTGTGACTAGGGATGGGAGAAACTACTGCCCATAGCAGAGTACCTTACAATGGACCTGAACCTGGAGGCAGCCCACAAGGAAATACTGGTGAGTGCTTTCTCTACTTTCTCCAGCACAGCCTCTACATACTGATCCGGCAAATGACACGGGTCAGTTCCCAGAATATTGGCCATAAACTTCAGGACTTTCTTCTTGCTGGTTTCAGCATAGGCTCTTGGGCCCCACAGGAATTCATACTGAGGAGGATCACTGTTGGCTACCAGCCGGTACTCCACATACTTTTCCTTCACAAATTCTTTGGTGATGATTTCCCTGGGGTCCCCAAACAGAATGTGTTTCTTCCCAGGATACAACCCTGTCAGCTTCAGTGCTTTCCAGACCTCCTCTTCCGGGACACAGGAGCCCTTTGTGAAGATCACACCCAGGAGAAGTATCAAGAGGCCAGTCTTGGGCACGCTGCCTTCATCACTCCCCATCCCATCATAGGTGAGGCCAAGCTTGATGAAGATCCCATAGCAGTGGTTCAAGGAATCCAGTAACTTCACATCTAAGCCAAACACCATCCCCATGGTCTGGCAGGCCTGCAGTAGAATCTTTGGGAAGTGTACCTCATTGTCTTGCATGACAATCTCCAACATATCTGCTTTCCATACTAGCTCTTTCATTTGATACTTGAGCAGCATGAAATTCACTAGTACAGCCACTTTCTCATTCACATCATTATGAGGCACATTCCCAGGGACCACTGCAGCCTGTTTGGTGCATGAGATCTGCTCATTTTCTTGGCTACTGGCACCCTGCTCAGAATTGCTTGAAGAAAGACAATAATGCTGAAGACCCTTGGAAGTACTGGGTGTCTCAGCCACAGGAGCCTCCTCCAGGGTGCCAGGCACAAGACGATTGGAGGAGGAGAGAAATTTCTTCTCCTCATCTTTGAAGACCTGGGCAAGCTCTAGGCATTGAGGCTCACTGCATTTCTGAAGGTCTTTGTCCTCTAGGCATTCTCGATTTGCCTGATACTGAGACATAATGATATGAGTGAACTGCAGAGGAATGAAAGCTGACAACAGTGGGCAGGCAAGAGTCACTACCTAAGGGAGAAAAGAAAAAATGGAGGATGTCAGCATCTTCAGCATTAATACTCAACTATTATAGCTCTCATAGTAGCTGCTACCATACCTAAAAAAAGTGCTATAAAGCCTTCCCAGGTTTTCATGCTCCTGGTTTCTGTGTCTCCCAAATATCCAAAGAGGATGTAACAATGAAGGCACTGCCAGCGACTCAACTTGGGAATCCTCAGGGATCCCAGTAGACAGCTGGATGTGGCTCTGTATCACCCTGCACTTCACTACTCAGGACAATGGTAGATTACGTAGATGATATAATTTGTAATCAGGTAGGACAGATGACCATTCAATGAAGTTACTTTTAGCCCTTCTCAATATTGTGTTGACCTCCCTGATATCAGATGATTTGGTGAGGTGTCTTCTGTACATCAAACTCTTTCCCATTCAGTCTCATGATTGAAAATAACACTGGGATTGATTCTATCGTAATCCAACCATTTTGTAGCTATCATTTATACTTTCAGCCTTAGCTTCCAGTGGATGTTTAGGCCCAACCACCCACACACAAGTCCATATCTTCTATTTACAAACTGGTCTCTGTCTTACTTGCCTGTGAATAAAGTGAGGAAAGATGCTGTGTATCCACCACCACCAATATTTCCCTGTAATAACTTCAAGGGCTACATAGCAGAGAACACTTTGTTCTAGGGAGACTCAAGGATGTGTTTCAAAGCCCTTACCAGGACCACTCATAGCATCTACAGATTTTTCCCTGCTAATGTGATATGACACAGGCTTATGGATCAAGGACAGTTGTGGAAGACTTGGCCAATGGTTAAACTGCGGGAAAAGAGTATATAGGTCATGGGAGGAGTGAATGGTTAAACAACAGGAAGTTTAGGTTGGTGAGGCATGTCATGTCTGGCCATTGTCCTTCCCCTTTTCCCAAGAAAACTGCCTGGCCTTGAGACAGCTTCTTGCCCAAACAGCTTTTCTTCCATTTTTCTCTTACACTAAGGTCCTAAATAAAAGCCTGAGAGTCCTCAATTTCAGTGCTACTCCCAGGAGTCTAACACTGGGTACTCTCAGTTGAGAGAGCCCCCCGGCCTTCTTGGTGACAGAACTAAGTTTCCTCCATGAACAATCTATTTTCAGTTTTTGTGTCACCACAGTCTCACACTGTGACAAATAATCTTGCCTAAAACCTCACTACAAGTAAAACTGCAGGAAGCTCTTCAGTCAAAAGCTATCTACGTCTCCCTGGTTGATAAAGTTGTCAGGGTACTTGATAACCCTATGCCTGTAGTGGATGCTTTTCAGTCCCTATTCCACATCTCCATATATATGCTTCACATTTCCTGGGCTCCATATACACTGGATTCTCAACATGCAACATTCATATCCACACTGGCCCCTCGCTGAAACACCAGTGCATGAAGTAAGCTGGTGAGACTTTGTGCCATTCATATCTGCATTTTATAATGGAATGGATAGGAGACTGTGGCCAGTACATCAATTCTCATTTATACTTGGGGGAGATGATTATTATTTTGCTCTATCAAAGCAAATGCTCTCTGCAATGTGTGATATACATTCTGTCCTTGAAACTGATGTTGCTGACTTTTACTAATTACTTATGACATTATGACCATTTGAGAAGAGTCAGGAATATCACATGCAACTGTATTTGTCTCAATTTCCCAAGTGCTATAGCAACATTAAATTCCATCAGGATCACTATGTTCTGAGGTGTATGTCCTATCGTCCTGATTCTGTGATTTTCCTTGAGTAATACAACTGTTGCAGGTGCACTCTTTTATTTCCATTCATGAATACTTCTGTTTGAAATAGTTGGTTTCACAAACAAAAGCGTTCAATCAGTATTTGCTTCCTTTCAGAAACTCAGCATCAAATGACAAACATGACCACGATACCATCTTCCTCACACAAATGAAAGTACAGCCACCTTCCCTAAAATTGTAAAAGGCATTATGCTCTTAAACCAAGGTACAACTGTGAAGTTAATTTTTCAGACACAAATGTTTATAAATCTACATTTACTTTGCATGAAGAACAGAGACTTCAGCCTGACAGGCTTGCCCTGTGCTTTCATCAGCTCCAAGCACATCAAAGCAGGGCAATGATCAGATCCTGCCTTCTGAAATGCTGCTTTCCTGGGCTCATAGTGTTTAATCCTTCCCTACTGAGCTGCAGTCACCAATTCTGATAACTTTCATCACTTCTACCACAAAAGGGCCTCACATTCATGAGATAACTATGAAGTGAGGGAAAATATATCTTATACATCTATCAAAGGCAGTTTACCAGTCATCACACCAAAGGGAAGACCAGTACATAAGAGCAGATAGAGTCCTCACACTTGTTCAGGGTCCCACGCTGATCCTGGTAGGCTTTCCCACTCATTCTTCAGCTCACCTGATGTACTGTGGACCCTACACAGCAAAATACTGCCCTCCCTGGAAGTCCAGGAATGAAAAGAAGAAATCCTATTCAGGTGATGCATGCCTGAGACATCCTGAACTGATAGCAGAAATGGAGATTTTTGTATCCTTTTTGAACTGAGGTGGGTCATGGCTTTGGTCTTTGAATTCACCTCTCTTCTGAGAAGACATTATGCACTTACTCCTATGCTAACCTGAGATACCTTTGATACAAAGACTTCCCTGAGAATCATGAAAATTAAATGAGATTGTAAAAAGTTCCACCCATTCCTTCCAGGAATTTCCAATGGACTAATGCAAAGCCAGAGTGGAGTTATGAAGGGCCCAAACATACTATCGTAAAGAGATGCTTAGTCTTTACTCAGTGTCTACACATTAGCACATGTTCCTGTATGACTCTCCTAACTTGCTGACCTGCTATCCCCTCCTTATGCTAAAGATTCCCCTCCTAAAGAAAACCTAGGTGGAGCTGATGTGATATTACATATATGCAGCTTAACATCCCATGGTGGACAACACAGATACTCATGGCAGGGCTGCCTGTGTTCCAAGATGAGTGGTTCCCTCACTACTAACTCAGGGTTCTTACCTTTAATCCCTGAAGCACCTAGGAATTCAACCTGATGATCTGGTCATGCTCTCTCAGACTGAAGCTGTCTCTTCTCTAAAAAAAATGACAAGGACAACATGAAATTATCTGACCTGTTTGTTACTGTCCCATGTTCTCACCAGAGTTGACCAAAGGGTTTGTATAGAGGCTCAGCAGGGTCCTTGATTTCAGAGTGTGGTTCAGATGATCTTCAGTCAGGGTCCCTGCATCCTCTCACAGGTCTGGGATTTATGTATCTGATATATTTTTATAAAACCTCTGGAAACCCAGCCCTATTTCTATGAACGTGAAAGAATCCAGTTGTACATTTTGAACAAAACCTACATTTCCTTGTGATATCAGAATGAGATGTGAGCTCTCCTCAGGCTGTTATTTGTCCTGCTGGTCTCCTAAAGCTGACAGCAAGGGAAAAGGTTGTGGGATCCTCCTCTGTCAGCTGCTCATATTCTCACAGCCTCCATATGCACCCTTCATTTTGGAAAGTGGCCATAAATATACTGATGCTTATCTATTATCAGGAAAGACTTCTACTTACTCACATAGCCCTCAAGGGATTTTTGAAATACCTTAGGCCTGGGACATCCCAAACAGACAGTGGGTCCTAAATACTGTGGTGCACTCCCTGGTTTGGGGTGGCATAACCTTAAGAATTCACTCAAGGTTCCCACCTGGGGCCCTGGCAGTTCCTCAGAAACTGGAATTCTTTCTCTGAAGACATGATACTGTTGATGTAAGACTAAGATCTCACCACCTCTAGATTATGTAGGGAGACATCTGTGGGCACCTCATTCTTTCACTGGTACCAGGGCTGACAAGACGTTGAAGCTCAGTGGTTTGGTTAAAATTCTCCATGACAGTTTAGTTATTCAGGGTTGTTTTATCTTGTTTTGTTTTTGTATGTTTTTCTCCTGTACTGGACATGAGAACACAGGGCCTCTGCACTGAAATTCATCCCTAGTCCTTTTTAATATTTTTTTTTTAAATTTGAGACATGGACTTGCTAAGAAACTGAAATTATCTGTTTGAGCTGATAGTGGCCATTCTCTCGCTGCAGCCTCCAAGACTATTGGGATTACAGTCTGGTGACAAAACACAGGCTTCTTTTCCTCCCCCACAATACTGAGAGAATCCACCTGCAGCAGGCCCTTTGCATTTATGAGCAGCATTAGGTTAAATCTTCTCAGCAGCTGAACTTCTACTCTCTGTTTAAGACCTACTGACTTCCTCACTACATCCCTCATTCCACACCCCAGCCCAAACTCTATCCTCCACATGAGGCTTACAAGCTTCTGCATGGCCTCCTAGGGCCTCACGGAAGTATATTTCAGGATCAAAGTGTATTATAATACTTGTTGTGCTTCAAGTTATGCCTTGATTCGTCATCTCTGGGTCTTAATCCACCTAACACTTGGTGCTGAAACCCAGGGGCCAGTGTGAGGCCACCTACCCATAAGGCGACGCTTGGTGTCACAATCGTTGCAAACAACACCAGCCATCTTCTCTAATGCAGGCAGTCAACACATAGAAGTCCAAGGAGTCTCTAGATCTCCTCCAGAGGATCTTGCCCCTTCCACCATCCATCTGCCCATAAATGCTCTCTCTGGGTCTTGGTTCTCCCAGGCCTGAGGAACTAGCCCTTTGGCCTGGCCTCTCAAGAGACACAAGATGCCAGTCTGTACCATTTCCCTGAGATTATTCAAAGACACCTATGTCTCCATGGTTTTCTCCTCCTTTGGCTTAGAAACCCCACCCACTGATCTCTGGGCAACTCCAACTCAGACCTCCAAACACCCAAAGACTCACCTTTTTTATGGCTCTTCAAAAATCTAGAGGCACTCTACCTGGGAGGGGGAAATATCAAACCAAAATAATTCATCCTTATTTACAATACTATCTTTCCACAGTATCAATTAGATAAAAATCACTGGTGACCAAAGCATGACACCTTTGAGTCCCAAATACTTCTACATTTAGCCAACTTTATTCAGCGCAAAGTCAAGTGATCAGAAATGCCTTAGCTACACACATTTTTTCCATCTTCTCAGTCACCCTTCCCTCTGCTACTCTTGTACTATTTTCTAAATCCTCCTATTTCATCATCAATATAGATTTGATTCTAACTCTCTTGGAACCAGAATTTGATCCCTCTAACCACACACCTCAGCCATCATATGTCCGTCCAGCTTCAGTGCCTTCTTCCTCTGCCCCACCTCCTCCCACCCTCACTTTCCTCTAGTCCTCCCAACTCTACCATTTGAGACTCCCACTCATTCTACCTCTTCTCCCTTTCTACCATCCTTTTCCCCATGCACTACCCACTCTCACACACACCAACTCTCTCTGCAACCACAACCTCTGCTGGTCTCTGTCCTCTCTTTGAGGTGGCAGATAACAGGCATTGTGTATATTCATGTTACCTTTTCCCTTCTGACCTCTCCCAAACTGAAAAACACCTGAGATTCTACACTGCAGACACTGCACTACACCAAGGAATTCTAACATCTCACCCTCTCCTGTTAGTTCAAATAGCAGATGTTTATTCTATCCTTATTTCTACTTCTCTCACTCAAATAAAAACATGCATCTGGGCCAGTGTCACAGCTTTTTTGGACTGTCTCCATGTGGGAGACCCAAACCCAGTGCAGCTGGCCTTACGAGCTTTCTTGACAAGGACCCCAATGGAATCATCAGGCGGATCCCCCTAACTTAGTGATATATTTCTTTTTATCTTGAATTTGACAGAGAGAAAGCAACAGTTGTATGTAAAGTACCAAATTAACATAAAAATGAAGAAATCATTCAAAATTGGATGAAAATCCAGCAGCCTTCATGAACAGATTCACTGAGACCATTTTAAGTTTAAAATGTTTCAAATATACCACTCTAGATCCTGCTTCAGAGGAAGGAAAATTCTATGTATCCACACTTTATTTCCCACAGCTCTTCAGATTCTAAAAAGGAACTCCAAAGATTAGAGAAGGGGTCATGGACCAGTCAAAAAGATCTCACTGAGGCAGTCTTCAAGATCTTTAATAACAGAAACTAGGAGTTGATAAAACGGAAACAGATTAAATGCCAGCTGTTGGTATCTGTCTTTCAAGGTAATCGGAAAGAGAAACAAAGCCCTAACAAAGTCTCCTCAGCACCTCCAATACAATGTTTCAAATGAACACTGAAGGACACTGGGCCAAGGACTGTCCAAACCCTCAGCACCCACACAAGCTGGGTCCAGCCTCTGGACAAAAGGGACATTGGAAGACAGACTGTACCAAGAACTCTGGAAATGGGGCCAATTGTTCTGGTCCTAAGGCCACCTTCGAACTGTCCTTTGCCAGTCTGCTAGAAATGGCTGCTGAGGATGGCACACTGACTAGGCTCAATTCCAAAGCTCCTGTGATTTCCATCACCACAACAGAGCTCAGCACTGGTCTTACAGTAGCAGGAAAGCTCATCTCTTTTCTTCTAGGCACAGGCACAATGTAGTCAGTTTTACAGGAGCACACAGGACTCTAGCCCTCTCCTCTGTCGCTATTGCAGGATTGATAGTCTTATCTCCAAAATACTGAGTACCAAACTTCTGTTTTACACCTTAAAAGCAATCATTTTGGCACATTACTTTCTAGCACTCCTAACCTATCCAATCTGACTAACAACAGGAGGTATACTTTGACATACTCATTCTACCACTGCCACCCAACCTCAGCTATTCTTCTTAGCCCATTACCTTCCATAACACAGAGTATACAAACTTTACTTCATTCTACCCTAAAAATACAACCTCTTTTGTGGGACACTAAATACCCGTCAGTTGCTTCTTACCTTCTTACCAAGGTTACCTCAAAGATTCCTTGTCCTTCCCCAAGAAGACACCACACCTCTTAAACCGTGAGCCATAACCCAAACCCCAAACCTAGCCCTTCTATTCTTTTACCTTATTGTACTCCTCCTTAAAAACTATTCACAGGAAATTTCACAGATATTTCCTCTGATAGCCTCTCAGCCTGACTAGAGGCCCCTTTACATGATTGGGGCTCAAATCATTCCTCCCTCGAACTCACCATAATCTATCCACTCTTCAAATGGCACTCTTTCTTCTCCACAACACTAATACCCCCTGTAAAAACACTTACTTCTAGCCCAACATTTACAGTATTTCTTCAATCTCACCTCCAGGCTTGTAAACAGGACAAATCCTTCTCTGGCCCAAGGTTGCTTGCTATGCCTGTGTCTTTTGTCTTCAGCCTGTATGGCAATCTCCACCCCCAAATCTGCCTAGTTGAGCACCAAGAGGCAATTTGCTCTGCCAAAGTGCTTAGGCCCGCCCTTCCAAGTTCCAGCCAATACTGTCCTTACCTCAGACCCAATAGCTGTGGCGCACAGGATGACCAAATTCTTTTAGACACAGGCCTCTAAGTGCAGTGAATTGCCTACACTCCACACTCTATTGCTTTCATAGCCCTAGACACTTCCTTCATACACCAAGCCCCCTTCTACATTTAACATGGGCCAACACCTAAGAGTGCCTTTCAGGGAACCACTTCTCATAACAATGAAACTGTCACTATCAGGAGTCTCAGAGACTACAAACTCTCCAGAGATATTATAAAATTTCACCCGAAGCAAACAAAAGTTCACACAGTCTGTTCATTTCTCAGGACCACCTACAACCCCAGTCTCTTTCCCAGGCCTAATCAATCCCATGACCTCTACATAATTTCCACGAGAGCCTATTGATATCTCATCCGTCCATAACTCTGTATCAATACAACCTATAATGGGGGCTTCCTTAGGCAGTTCAATCTTGGTATGGAAAGGAGACCCAGTCCTTCACTCTGTCATGGGGGCCTAGGCTTTACAGCATCATCCTATTACATCTCACAACTTGGCTGTTCCAACCCTGAGTTTTGCGGCCAACAATTCTTCCTGTGCCTACCCACTAACCAGACAGGGACACGCACTTCACCCTGATTGTCTCCCAATATTCATGTAGCCCCCATTGAATACATCCAGCAGAAAGGGAAGTCCCTCTAACCTCACTTCTACCATTAGAGATAACTGTGGAAGTAGCCGCTGTGCTGGAAAAACAGCAAGTCTCTCACCTGCTACTCGAGCTTATCACAGGACCTACAGGAGAGCCTCATTACAATCTCAACATTCCTAACCAATATCCAGAACCAGCGAGACCACTCAAGCCCTGCTCCATGATGCATTTCACCTGAACAACAGTCCAAACCTCACCTAAGAACACATAGACCACATCGTTCTGCTCAAAAGCACAAAAAGAAAACAGAAACCAAGAAATCTCTCATAAGGTGTGAAAAAGCATAACCCTGAACCAAGATGCCCCAACATAGCAGAAAGCAGCCCAAAGAGGGGGCAGGTCTGTCCAGTTTCCCATCTTCCCTTCCCTGTCCCCAATGAGAGTCTCATTCTTTTATGTATTTTTTATTCTGATTACCCCCCTTTTCTATTCATAACAAAAGCCTGACACATTAGCTTAAAGCTCCCCCTAACCTCTTCTCTAGGCTCAGAGCCTGCTGACTTCTTCATTCCACCCCCATTCCTTTCCCCAGCCCTAGCTCCTGCCCCCACCTCAGGCTTGAACGGTGCTGCTCTGATCCTGGGGCCTGGAAGACGCAGAAGTCTACTTCATATCCCTCAGATGCTGTTGTTCTTATTTCACTAAGAAATATTTCTGCCTCCAGTTGTCTCCAGGCTTCAGTCAACCTCACAGATATTCCCCATTCCTTTAAAAACGTTATTTTTAAAGTTTTCAGATAGTTCTGCAAATACTAGCAAAACTGGGCTCAAACTTGCAATCCTGCCTTGGACTCTAGCCATGGGACTGCAGACATTTGCTGCCTACACAGATTGTTTTTCTCCAGTACAGGGCTTTGAAACAGGGACCTTTACACTGAGATACAACACCAGCACTTTTGAAGAAATATTGTTTTTTAAATTTTGGAATAGATTCTTGCTAAGTTGGTTTGACAGGGCTCCAACTTGTGATTGACCTGCCTCAGTCTCCCAAAGTGCTGGGATTTTGAGCACTACAAGGCACAAGGAGCCTTTTTCTTAAATACTGCACAACTCAGGATTCCTCCTCCACGAAACAAGGCCTCCACCTTACTCAGAGCCTGAGAGGGAGGCGAGAACAGCACAGGGGTACTGGGACCTCCAGGCTGAAGGTTGACAGGACTCAATGGGAGCAGTGACACCATGCACTGCCAGGCTCTCTGTGCTGCCCTGCACTCCTCTCAGTGCTTCCTTCATCTGACTTTAACTCTAGGCAGCGCCTGTGACAACTCCTACACACTCCTTTGATTGGACACCATGGTTGCTTAGGATAGAGTGCCTCACAGACTGCACACACTGCCAGGAAATCACATCCAGGTCATCCCTGTCCCTCCTTTGGAAACGTTCTGTGCCCACTGCAGGGGGACTCTGAGCATGATCCTAGATTCCTTACTGAGCTTGTTTTAGGTCCTTCCTCAGAGTCCTCCTGATTACTTGTTTTGCTGTTTGTTTTATGTGTTTGTTTGTGACAGGTTCAGGCTATGCAGTTCCAGTAAGATATTTAAAATTATTACGATATTTTATATACATGTACAGATTCCCCCAAACCAATATGACAAGTATATATTGTAAACTTACAACTGAAACAGTCCATAAAGATGTTAAACATTTTTATTTCTTCTTTTGCAAACAATGAGGTATATTTGCTAAGTATGTGCTCAAGCCTTAAGCTCTTGTCTATCTTTTGTCTTTGTTTCTTAATATAAATTTAGGCTTCCATGTTATTTCTGAAATTACTCTTGTCTCAGATAAATTATTTGCAGATAT